AGCGTTGGCAGGCTATAACACAGCACATCTCAAATTCTACCGCACAACCCCCAACAGAAGGGGTGGTGTCTGCTCTCTGCAGCGTTCGCTCCCTGCTGACTCCATGGTAGGCGGGACACGTGCCGCACTAATCTTTCTCTCACAGTGGCGTGGTTTTCTGCAGATCTAAGGTGTCCCCAGCCCCTCCGCCAGCACCGCACTCTGAGCCCAGCTTATCAGCAGATTTCTGTTCAGGCGCCACCTGCCTGTCTGAGGTCTGTGGCCTGTGTTTGCTCAGAACATGTCCACTGTCCTTGTCTGAAGTCCACAGAACTTAATTATATGTATTTGATCATTTCGCCAATATCCTCCCCTTTAAAATAAGTTTGTTTTAAAAGCCCACCTTACGAATTCCGCTTCACTCTTAAGCCTTGTCGCCTTTCTTGCTTCCTGCAGAACCTCTGTAATGAGCCTAATAAGTACAGCTTCTATTTCTGCAAACAGGTCAGGGGAAAACATGTGCAAATTATCATGCCCAGAATCTGCTTCTTTTATCTGGTGCACGCAAAAATATCCACTGTTTCCTAATAATTCCGAGTCATTTTACCGTGAAGTATGACAAAGAAAATTTCAAAAGCCCCACGCATACAGTTTGCAGTATGTGCAGACACAACCACTCAAGCCATCAGCACGCAGGCGGAGAAGTGGGACTGACAGGACGGCGGCGGGACGCAAAGGTGCTCTGGTGACCACAGCTCTACCTCTCCCTCACCGCAAAAAACACTGGTTTTCTCTCTTTTCTCACAAATAGATATTCCTAAGCAGTGTGTTTTACCTATCTGTAAATCCATATGTAAATGGAATTATGTAACACACATATTCAACTGTGTCCGGACTCTCCCCTTCGAAGTTATGTCCATATGATCTACCCACATTGCTATTTGAGGTTGTGGTTCAATAGCCGGCACTGATCAGAATTCAAGTCATCGCATAAACTGTCATTGTCCAGCCTCTCGTAGATGGACAGTCCGTCTATTGGCAGCAGATTATGGCTAGTGTGAATTATGCCGCTGCAACCCTTGCTAGCCTCTGAGCGTGGGTAACACACCGTGGCACAGCCCGGTGTACGTGACCACATGCGGTCCCTTAGGGCTCCGCGAGCCCAGTGGCGTACCAGTCCTTCTGCTTGGTGGCAGACAGCTCCTTGGTGGCCTTGGAATCCTCTTCTGTGACCTCTTCTGTGACATTTTTGTGCAAGTTTTTTGCCTTTTTTTTTTTTTGCTTTTTTGCAGTACCAGGGATTGAACTCAGGACCCTGTGCTTGCCAGACAGGCGCTTATTTTACTGAGCTATCTCTCTGGCCCCTTTTTGCTTACTTTTTAAAAGTAGTTTGAAAGTGTGCCTTGTTCATTCTGGGTATGAGCTCTCGGGTGGCTTCTGTGTAAACACCTCCCCCTCTCACCAGGTCTTTCTAATTGTTTCAAAGATGTTTTTCTGAGGACAAAAAAATCATTCTAGTGTAGTTATTTTCTCCATTTTTAAAACAACTACTTCTCGGTGTCCTGATAAAGGCGAGGATTATATTATCAGTTAGAAGTCTGTATTGTTTCATCTGTCTCCCCAGAATTCATTTCTATTTTTGGTGCGAGTTAGAAGTCAGCTTTTCTTCTTTTTTTTTCCCTACCTGTTTTTATGCCGTCTACTGAAAAGCCTTTCCTCCCCAGCCACTGCCACAGTTGTTACACGGCACTAATGTGTGAAGTTCTGCTGCAGGCTGATATTCTGGTCTGCTGTCCTAAAGACCTCTCTTTATACCAGTAACATATTTTAGTTACTATACATTTATAACATCTAGTAACATTTTGTTGAGAAAATCTATTGATCTTATTCTTTTCTTTGGTTTTTGGAATTGAGTTTTATTTCTTTTTACAGACGTGGGTGACATGTATTTCCTGGTGGGTAAAGCTCTACCAAACCCTGTCCTGAGTCGAGGCTGGCGGTGAGCAATGTGTCCACGCCGCTGGACGGGAGTGCCTTCTGGGCAGGAGAGCTCCGGGCAGGAAGACACCACGGGGTCCGAGCCGCACCCCAGCACAAGCCCAGCAGAGCGGCCTGCGCAGGCCGTGCTCCGG